TCCCCTGCAAATCAAGATGTATGTCGGCTTTTATGTACATGTGAATAGCATTACCCTAAAGCCGTTTGGTTCACGGCATTTTTTATTACCGAGTAAATAAATCCTCATTCCCCCGTTTGGTTGTCCGATAATCTTATTCTTGGTAATATTTTATTACCATTAGTAGATTTTTTGGATATATTACCGGAAATTTAATTACCTATTCCCTTAGGTATTGTTAGATTACTGGCGTTTTGGACTAAAATGCCCTTAAAAAAAATTCCTCAAAATTATCTTTATTCAGTCGTTGAATAATAAAAATTCTACGAAGGTTAAAGTATAAATTCATCCTTAAACTATTTTAGATTTACAAAAAAAAAGTCAATAATTAGAATTTTATATGAAGTTCAGGGGTTAAAATAAAATTTTGCCCTTTCATTAAACCTATTTATCTTTTCAATTTTGTAAAAAAAAATTATATAAATTTTATGAATTTAAAATTTTTAAAGAAAATGTATAAATAATATTATAATAGAATTCAACTTGTTAAAAAAAGAAATATATAATAAGGATAATTTGGTAAAATATAAATTTCAATAATCTTTTATTCCTTTAACCAAATACGGTAATCTTATATTCCTACTAAACCAACCAAACACAAAATACAATATTCTCAGTAATCATAATACCTGGTAATCTTTTTTTCCACTGATAATATTACATTCCGTGAACCAAACGCACCCTTAATATTTTCTGTTGATGTTATTAGTAGTCTGTTGTATTTGTTTTATTTTCCTTGCACTGATATGCAATCTTGGCTAATACAGGACTCAAATGAATACCGGAAAAGAGTTGCAACAGCTAGCCCGATGATATCCGCAGACTCTCTAGTCATATGCTTGGTCAACAGAAATGGTGGAACTATTAGATATGTCATTTAGCATTTTTACCACATTTCGTTTAAAGCTCATACAAGGACATGTGAAACTCTAGTTAAGTAACAGAGGTCAGTTGTCAAGGATGCTTATGTTACCTGTGATTTTCTCTACATGCTATGCCATGATGAAACCAGAAGACTAAATGGCATCTCTCTCCCATGTTTAAAATCTATGCATTGAAATTGAATCCATGCTTCTATCTCTTTGCAAGTAAATTACCATAAGAAAAAGTGAAGACTGGATGATCTTGATGTATGCTAACCATGCAAGCTTGAAATTTATTAACACTGAGAAGATAAGGGCTAAAATGAAACTGATAATTCTTAATTTTGGTGCCGCTTTTATCAGACATTAATTTCTACTAAATTTTACCAACGAGCTGTTGGCCACATCTTCTGAAAGTTTAAATCTTAGGAAGCGTACCTGTTGGAGGGTTGTACCTTCAAAACTTTCGGTTTGATGATTAATATAAAGTCTAACTTGACTTGGGGACACCCTGAGTTGCAACAAAAAAGGACATTATATGAAACGTGATTGCTATTTATATAGTATTAATAGCAACTGATGCCTAACCTGAGTAGCACCTTGCTGACAAGCGACTTCTAGAAAGAATTTAAGAAATATATTGATAATAGTATTATTATTAAATCCTTTTTATAAATATTACCAAAGAATGAGAATGACAAGTGTATTTTATAAACTTTGAAGAGTTTATTAAAAAAAATTGGGATTTAATTTAAACTTTTAGAAATATAAAATTTAATAGCAAATTCTTAATAATATTAGGAGGTAACTTAATTAAAAATTTTGAAACATAAAAATATTTATAAAATTAAAAAAAATTAAAATTTCTCTAACCCAAGACTATCTGTCCCTGATTCTATATCAGTATAAAGAGAAAGAGCTTTAATTTTGTCTATTAATTTTATTATTTTGTATTTGTTTAACTTTATATGATTAAATATCTATGTATTGAGAGAGAAAGTACCTTAAAGGAAAGAAAATTTAAAATCTTCTAAGAATGTTCATGAATTATATTACCATAAAGATTGTTGTTGTTTTTTTTAATTAATATGCGATGATTATAAGATAATATTTTTTTTGAAAGAGGGTACTTTGTATTAGATAAATGCAAAGTACACCACCTCAAGGACCTCATTAAAAAACCTTCCTAACCCTAAGTGGAGGAAAAAGAGTGTACCAAGAGGTGGAAATGATGAAATACAACAATTATCTTACATCAACACAAGGCATCCCCCAACCACAACCCACCTTAAACAAGCACCATAACAGACCATACAGCAAAAAGAAGATAGAACAAACACACATCAAAAACTGATCTACAACAGACACAACAGCAACCGAAACCATAGTCACCACACCTGCTAAAACACTGATACAAGAGCTGGAAATGTCACTACAACCACTATAGCAACAGAACAAGCAATGCAAAAGCAGACCAGCAGAACTGCATTGGACTAGCAGAACAAGAAACGCTTCTTTAAAATGCTCTAAAGAAACTACCAATATCAGACTAAACACTCCTCCACTTAGGATACTTCAAATAAGAACTAAAAAGACATCTAATCTTGTCCTAAACCAAAACATCGCTTAACACAAAGCAAAACACTGCTTCTCAAAACAAAGCAAATGTTTGAAAGGAGCCAGCGATTCTACAACTTACACTCATAACAGACAACCAACTCTTGAGGGCCAATTGAATTAGCAAATCTAGTCCAACCACACTCCTACTACCTAATAAAACCAGGATCTTTGAACCCACAGCAGCTCAGATTGACAAAAAAAAAATAAACTACTACAAACCTAACACTAAAATACTATAAAAACCATAACTCCAGCTCCTTTAAAATACCACAGCAAACCCCAAAGACCACATAACTAATACCTCAGATAACTCCTGACAGGCACGCTTCACACGCATTAAGAAATACAAACTTACTTACTGACCCTAATCCAATAAACAATATCCTTTAAGCTCGAAATACAACACTATATGGGCACGTCAAATAAACTATTACCGACAGCCACCTCATTATCCACAACAGGAACAACATGTGTATACCATCTGTTCAGAGCACAATCTTCATAATTCTTTTAGTGAATCATTGAACCATCATTCTTTACCTCGAAATCAACATCTGCAGCAGAAACCTCCTCCAACCTAGGAACTAACTCATCACCGACAACTGATGTAATCACCACTCCACCACCAGCCGGAGAACCATCAAAGAACACACAATGCATAACACAAACACAGAAACAGCCAGTGGACATCGACTAATAGCAACACCAAAGGACATCTATCTAGCCAAAGCAAACACAAGACAGCTGCAGCAACAACACACCATACAAACACAGCAGATCACCCAAGCACAAGAAAAGCAAAAGTAGACCCGGCTGAAATTCTTAAATGCTTCTATACACTATGAAACATAACAAACACTTCTCCTTACAAAGGAACACGCATCCTTAAGGCTTGTTGAATGAAATCTTACTAATCATTATTGGCAAAAACGACCAACACTAAGGAACCGTAGAAGGACTTTTCACTTCACAATTTCTTCCTGACGCTCTCTCCATGGATTTAGAAAAACATAAAAGAATGAATAGAGAATTGTCCATCTAGCTCAGTTGGTAGAGCACAAGGTTTTTAACCTTGTGATCGTGGGATCGAGTCCCATTGAGGGCAATTCATAAAGGAGGTCTTCCACGGAAGCTGCTCTCAATCTGGTGTTAGGGGCAGCCTACTACCCTACCTCTCCCTTATCCCGTTATTATGGGAATAGGGTCAGCTAATTTTTATAAAAGAATGAATAGAAGCATTCCAGACAACCCAAACAATATGATAAACCAACAACAGAACCAAGCATTAATCTTCTATAGCGAAACCAACAACCCAAATAACGAATTCGACTCCAGCAAACCCATACGATACGAACAAACCCCTCACACAAATCAAGCTAAGTCCTATGGTCTACCAGCACCGAATAATGAACTTCAGTAAAAAGGTTAAGCTTCAGCATATAGAAATACATGGTAGACAGAGGAGAGGTAAAGACTGCGGCAAACGGTAAAGTACAATTTATTCCAATCCATGCTTCTCTGAACCCAATTCCTAATAACCCTAAAATAATTTAGGGTTTAAAGATTTCTATCAGACCAAATGAGCAAACCACTCCGAAAACGACCTATTTCGCGAGGCGGTGGCCGCCTCCACCACCGACCTAGATACTAAAAGACAAACTTAATAAATGAAAGATGATGAAAGAAAAGAAAAGAAAGCAAAAGATTGGCGGCCAGCAACCAGCCTAAAGGGCTGGTACCGCCGCCTCACCAGGAAAACTTGACTGCAGACTCAGATTCTGGAGAGGAAGATAACTTCTGGTGTAACTTTGAAAAGGGGAAAAGTAACTGAGATTCTTACGTCCAACCTTACCATCTAAAAAATATTGCTCTTAATCAAATATATAGTGTTTCATTCCGTTAAACTTTAGTCAGATATTTGTTCATAAATTTTTAGTCTTTTCACAATGAATGCACACTTTACAGATGATAGATATAATTAGAGAGAATATGTATTATATTTCAGATCAATGCTATTATAATTTCTTCAATCCGTAGCGGCTAAAGAAAGATTTTAATCTAAAGTTGAACGGTGGGAGTTATACTTTGGTTTGTTTTAACATTTTTGCGTGGTGTAAAGTCTAAAGTAACCTTAAGTTGCCAAAAATCCTCATCTATCGCTGGCTTAGACTTCATTTTCAAACAATGGTAGATGTCATGGGGTGAAGACACTCTCCCAAGGAACATTGGTTGTGGATAATTTTTTAATGTGCCGACTTTTATCTCAACTTGCTAACATTATAATGTATTTGATGATTCCATTATTTGGTGTGAAAACCGCAGCTTAATTTGGCCCTTCACCAACAATAACTTGACGCGGTACTTGTCGTGTTAGTTGAATCCATTGACAAGTATATATTCAACCCTTTATGAATAAGAACAAGCCGCTAAATCTTGCAGAGGTTCAACCATTCAAGTAAAATATATTAACCTTGTATCGAAACTCACATGAAACACTTCATTCAACGCCAAAACCAGATGACTTGGACACACTCATTCATTGCAGAAACAAAATTGTCAGTCATGAAGCTACAAAACTGAGTTGGGGGATCTTCCATTACTATCCAATATGATTTCGAACAAATCATCCTTGGATTCCTCATTGAATTCCGTCACTGGATAATGAGTCTTATTGTTGTGGCTGCCTTTAGTTGTGCATCTGTTTAGCCATTGGGAATCCATTCTTCCCATTGAGAAAAGCTCTTTGCTGTCTTCATAGCCTAGTGCGGCAGCAGGGGAGTTTACAGGAGGGCCAATGAAGCATGGATTCGGCGTCCGTTGTCCATTTGCCGGTGCATATGCAAAGGCACTTTGTCCGAAATTAACAAGTACCGAAACATCATCGTTTGCTGCAAGAGTTGGATAAAGAGGAGTTCTAAATTCCTCAGACTTGCAATTTATTACACGTACAAGCTCCGAGTCTAATGTGAAAAACACTTTCTTTTGCCTAGGATCGAATCCGCAACCTATCACCTTCTCTGTTTTCTCCCACTCTTCTTTCTCATATTCAAACACTAGTTTGATCTCTGGTGTCGTAACCGGTTTTTGCCCGGGCACAAAATTTCTTTGGTGAAAAAGTAATGTGAATGAAATAAATTGTTTTTATTGAAATATTTTGGGAGTCGCCATCGACCTTTTGGGTTAGGTAGGTCGAATATCTAAAAAATTACCTTTTAAAATAGTTTTTAAGAAAATACCATTTTAAAAGAGTAACCGGTATGCGTTTAACTAAAAATTCGTTCCTTTTAGTAATAAAAAAGTGATTCGTGGTTGATTACGTTTGAGGAAGGATTATCATCTCACAAAGCCCAAAATTAGTCCATGTCGATTATAAATTGTCTATAGTAGTAGAAGTTTAAGAATTCGATTATCAATTTAATTTATGATCCTGTTATTTAATATTTAATCGGATAATACTAATGAAAAATATATTTAAAATAATATTTATAAAACTAAAGTAAATAAATATATTTATTTATTTAAAAATATCATAAAAGGACATCTATTTACTTTAAGACAACCCATTTCTTTAATATTAAAAAATAAATAAATATGATAAAATATGATAATTTTTCCTAAAAAATAATTTAAATAAAACTAGATTAAATATAATATTTTATTAATTTAAAAATATCAGAAAATGATATCTAGTTGTTTTAAGACAATTCATTTCTTAATATTTAAAAATAAATAATATTATTTAATATATATTTTTACAAAATAAAAATAAAATAATAACAATTAAAGTACTAAATTAAATATTGAAATTAAAAGGGTAATAATAAAAATTAAACTAAAATTTATCAATGATCAAAACAAATAAAATTAAAATTATAGAATTAAAACATAAAATATTAAAATTAAAGATACTAATTCGAAACATTATGAGAGATGGTGATTAAAGGTGTAATTTACCCTAATTAATTATCCGGGATTAAAATATAAACTAATAAAATTAAAGGAATAAATCTGTTATTTTACCTAAAATATATATAATTATGTCAGGGACTAAATTATAATAAACAAAAATTTGAATACCAAATTAAAAAGTTCAGAAATTGTTTTCAGTGACTAAATTGTAAAGAGTACAAACTATAGTGACTGTAGGTATAGTTTACCCACGCGAGAAATTATGCACATACCCTCTTCAAAATGGCATCGTTTTGATGAGGGTATAAATACCCTATAACCGGCCTTCAAAGGCCATTTCTCTATTTCTTTTCTTTCTGGTTCTCTCTCTTATGAGTGAACTCTCTCGTCTCTCTCTATATTTCCCTCGTCGGAGGGAATTCTGGCAACTGCCAGCCACCGTGCTCTGGTGGTGATCCCTGCCGCTGGCCACCATATATGGTGGCCGAATTTTACACAAATACCCCAAAATGATGCCCTGAACCTCCCAAGGCCGAATTCGGCCTTAGTTTCCACTAAAAAACTCTTGATCGGAGTAGATCTAGAGAAATACCTTCGGGTATTTCGAAGGTTTCGTTAGTGCGTGTCGGTGCGTAGCGTCTCCGGTCACCGTGTGGTTTCCTTGGTAAGGTCTCTCTCCTTTCTTTCTTTCTGTTTTGTGGATTTGGTGGTTTTAGTTGTTGTCTTCTTCTCGTTCTTACCTTATGTTCGTTTTTTTCTCTTTGCAGGTGTTGATGGCTTTTATAAGCCTCGATGAGGCTCTCATCAGATCGGTTAAAGGAATGGAGTTCGGTGAGCCACCGAAATATGGTGGTGACTCACCCTATAGTCACGACGTGGGCGGCCATCTGGCCTTCTGGAGGCTTCGGTTGAGACGTGGCAACAACTAGCTGAGACGGAGGCGTCGACAATGGAGTGTGGACATGGAACGACGGCCGCGTGGTCCTTAGGTTATGATACCCTAGGGTTTTCTGTTGAATCATTTGGATCGTTGGATCAAGGCCAGATCCAACTATAGAAAGTTGTGGCTGCTGCTGGAAATGATACAAACCCTAGATGCGTTAGGGTTAGTCTTAGGCCGGTTCTAGTCGGGCCTGGTTTGGGTCTGGGCCTCGGGTTATAATTGGGCTCCAGGATTAATGTATTCGGGCCTGCAATATTTATTTAATAATAATAATAATATATATAATATTAATATTAATAATTATAATTATAATAATAATAAATGGGCAAAAAAAACTAGTGCCTATAGTTGCCCCTCTTTGCTCATTCTTGTGTTAACCAGAATAGGGCAAAGACGAAAAAGAAAATAAGTTTTTTGTCCATTTGGCTTTTCTTGATTAAGATGGAAATGTTAATGTTGTTCTATCTCCTTCTGCGATGGAATCAAGCAAAAGGTTGAATAAGTTCTTCAGACTATGAACTTCTTTCTCTTCAGATGAGTTCTTCAGATTATGACCTCTTTCTTCCTCTTCATATGAGTTCTTCAGATTATGAACTCATTTTTCCTCTTCAGATGAGTTCTTCAGATTATGAACTCCTTTTTCCTCTTCAGACGAGTTCTTCAGATTATGAACTCCTTTTTCCTCTTCAGACGAATTCTTCAGATTATGAACTCCTTTTTCCTCTTCAGACGAGTTCTTCAGATTATGAACTCATTTTTCCTCTTAAAATGAGTTATTCAGATTATAAACTCTTTTTTCCTTTTCAGACGAGTTCTTCAGATTATGAACTCCTTTTTCCTCTTTAGACGAGTTCTTCAGATTATGAACTCATTTTTCCTCTTCAGATGAGTTCTTCAGATTATGAACTCCTTCTGGAAATGTTTTAAGAAAAACAATCTCAAATGAGATAAATTTCTATTTCAAAACATCCTGCACTGAAGGTCTTATGGATGACCCGAAGGTTTTGAAAATATCATGCACTGAAGGTCTTACAGATGACCCGAAGGTTTTAAAAACATCATGCACTGAAGGTCTTACAGATGACCCGAAGGTTTTGAAAACATCACGCACTGAAGGTCTTACAGATGACCCGAAGGTTTTGAAAGCATCATGCACTGTAGGTCTTACAGATAACCCGAAGGTTTTGAAAAAATCATGCACTGTAGGTCTTATGGATGACCCAAAGGCTTTGAAAACATCATGCACTGTAGGTCTTACAGATGATCCGAAGGTTTTGAAAACATCATGCACTGAAGGTCTTACAAATGAACCGAAGGTTTTGAAAACATCATGCACTGAATGTCTTACAGATGACCCGAAGGTTTTGAAAACATCATGCACTGAAGGTCTTACAGATTCAAGAAATAGTTTACTAAGTAAGAAACTTTGGAAATCGTTTTCTTACTATTCAACAATTTCATTTTCAGAAAAGATTAAATGAGAAACTTTGGAAATCGTTTTCTCATTTTTCGAAATAACTTGTTGATTGGGTAACATGCCCTATTTCAAAATAATGCTTCATTTTTGGATTGCGACCATCTATTCTTCAGATGTTTTCCTCTCCTGATGTGATTTGAATTCTACCTTCCCTTTGTAAGGTATTTTCCATCATGAATCTTCTTTTTTCATACGAAGACCTGTAAAACTTCATATTTGAATGCAATCAAACGTATCAATGTAATGCATTGTCTATTGTGTAAATGATGTTCTTATGAATGCATTAATGTTGATGCAATCTTCATTTGACTTCAAAGTGGTGAACTTGGTCTTCCTTCACTTCATCATTTATTTCTAGGGTTACCATTGGATATCAGTGTAGCAACTTATGCTATATTTTTTAAGAACCATTTGATCAACTGGTATATTTGTGTCTTCTTTGTTTCATTAAAGTCTCAGAATAAATGTTTCATTTATGGAACTCTTACCGTAATCAGAACTATGACCTTGATGCCTTATTTTTGTCTTTGATAACATCGGCTTTCTTTGCTTGGACTGGTGTAAAAATCCAATAAAGCTTTAATCTTTGAAGAGATAATCTATCATCTTTGAGGAATAAATCTATTATCTTTGATGAATGTAGATGTAGATATGCTAAACTCAGCAGAGATTAATTAGGAGATCAACATCTGTTTTGATTTGACTCTTGAAACACATCACAAGGAGGATTTATCCTAATTCCTTTCATGTCTCCACATCTAATTGGATCTCGAACAAAGCCATTCAGACCATATCATGTCAAGATGTTTAACAACAACCTATTGCTCAAACTTAGTTGGCTCCACTAGTTTCTTCTTGTTAAAATTTTAGCTTCCTTTCTCATGAAAAGAAATCTTCATCATTTCTTACTTCTAACCTTGGGGTTGAAGAAGACAAACTTCATCTCAGATCAACAAATGGAAACACAATATGATTGCAACATTGGTTCAGCATCATAATCCTGGTTCATAAAACATTTGACAACACATTCATACTTTCATGTGGCTTCTGCCCAGATGTTTGTAAAACATTTGATAACACATTTATCCTTTCCTGTGGCTTCTACCCAGATATTCGTAAATCATTTGATAACACATTCATCATTTCCTGTGGTTTCTGCCCAGATGTTTGCTAGTGAAGCTCTTTGCATAGTGTTCAAAGCTTTTGTATGATGTCACAAGACCACTTGAGAACAAAACTCAGTGGGAATACAAATGGGACGCTTTGGCTTGCCAGCATCAAATGACTAGAATAATGCAACTGTATGATGAACAAAGTAAATATGTATAATCAGTTCTACTGTCACTGTTTTACCATTTTCATTCTTAATAGCTTTCTGTCTCATTGGAAATATTTGCTCAAGTTAATGATCTTAACACATGATGATGTGGGCCTTTAGTATACCCCAGTATTTGCTGATATGAATGTTCAAAATGCCTTCAAAATTGTTTCTTGCTGATTTGAGCCTTCAAAATGCCATACATAGGTCATTTTTGTCTGAAATGAGCCTTCAAAATGCCTCAAATTTTCATATTGATTTGAGCCTTCAAAATGCTTCACATGGATCATTTCTAGTTGAAATAGACTTTCAGAATGCCCCAACATTTTCTTCTTGCTAAAAATGCCCAAATATTCATATTAATGTGTGTAACATCCCAAATCATGGTCAGTGACTAAATTGCAAATTTTGAAAGTTT